TTAAAACAAATAATATTTCAAATAATGAATTTATACCAATTATAAAAGGAACTTCCAGTTCTATTATCACACATAAATACCACCGAGAATGTTCGGCCCGATGCAATATAAATGTAAATTGTGCACTACCGAGGGTCGAACAACGCGAACTATAGATGCATCTATTATCCCGCTCGCGAATCATACATGCGACGCGATCAAATATAAATTTATCAATAAATCATAACCCTTTCTTGATTCTTTTCAAAATAAAGACAATTCGACTCGAAGCTTTTAAATCCTTAAAAATACTCAACTCAGTTCCATTTGATACAGTTAACAAATATAATCAAATAACAGTGTCCACAAGCATAGTGTAAACCTAAAACTACCCTGACACAAATAGGAATAGTGGCTACGTACGGACTCTCGTCACTTCGTGCATATTAATTAAGTTCACCTATGGGGTATATTCCCTCTTACAAGGTTAGAAAAGAGACTTAACTCGCTCCGAAATTCCATAACCGGCTCCCAATCCCTTCCAACAACCCAAACTGATGCCCAACGCTCCAAAACTACTCAATAAATGTGTAAACCCATAAATATATATACTATAACACTCATTATAATTCAATTTACTACAACTCCTAACTCCGCTTGAAAAGTCAATAAAAATCACCCACGGGCCCACATGCCTGGATTCTAAAAAATTTCGAAGATAAACTTTACCCATGACACTACGAACTCAAACATATAATTTATTCCAAATTCCATGTCCAATTTCGTGGTCAAAATCCCAAAATTCTACAAATTTTCAAGTTTAATTCCTTATATAAACCATGTATTTAACTCACAATATGTGAGAATCACTTACCTTGACATAGATGACGAAAATCCTCCTTCCAAGAGCTCCAAAAATCGCCCATCCAAAAGAAGAAGAGAGGAAAATGGCCAAATCTCGTCTTAAAATGACACTGCCCAGCCCGACTTCTCGCTTCTGCAGTCCAATAGCCGCTCATGCAGCTCCGCACATGTGGAAATTCCCTCGCAGGTGCGGTTCAAGCTCGCCCCAACATCCCCCGCATATGCGCCCCTTACGCGCTTCTGCGACTCCACGTGCGCAGGTGCGGTCTCGCTTCTGCGGAACTCGACTGCATCTGTGATCCCAGCCTACCTCAACCAGAACCGCTTTTGCGACCCTCTTGGCCACTTCTATGGCTCCGCACCTGCGGCCAAAACCTCGCAGATGTGGTTACACCAGAAGACAGATGCTTCAGTTTTTCTTCCAAGTCCAAACTCGATCCGTTAACCATCCGGAATCCATCTGAGGTCCTCGGTAGCTCAACCAAATATACCAACACGTCCCAAAACACATTAAGAACTTAGTCGAGGCCTCAAACCACGCCAAACAATATCGAAACTATGAATCATCCTCCAATCCAAACTTAATGAACTTTGAAATTCCAAACTTCTCCAATCGATGTCGAAATATATCAAATCACGTCCGATTGACCTCAAATTTTGCACACAAGTCATAATTGACATTATAAATCTACTCCAACTTCCGGAATCGGAATCCGACCCTGATATCAAAAAGTCCGCTTCCGGTCAAACTTCTCAAAAACCTTCAAATTTCTAACTTTCGCCAAATGACCCTAAAATGACCTACGGACCTCCGAATCCACTTCCGAATGCACTCCCAATACCAGAATCTCCATACAAAGTTATTCCCAGTCTCGGAATCCCAAACGGATATCGATAACATTGAAATGCACTTCAACCCATATTTATGAAATTCTTTCAAAATGCCAACTCCCACAATAGGCGCTGAAACGCACCCGGATCATCCAAAACCCGATCCGGACATACGCCCAAGTCCAAAATCATCATACGAACTTGTTGGAACCTTCAAATCCCGATTCTGAGGTCGCTTGCTCGAAATCCTACCTTGGTCAATTCTTCCAACTTAAAGCTTCTGAAATGAGAATTTTCTTTCCAAATCGACTCTGAACTTCCGAAATTCAATTTCGACCACGCGTACAAGTCATAATACCTGAAGTGAAACTACTCAAGTTCTCAAACCGCTGAACGACGCGCTGGAGCTCAAAACGACCGGTCGGATCGTTACATCTCGGTTGAGCGTCGGTCATGCTCCCCGAGATCGGAGCGTGACACTGTTTCTGCAAACATGCTCATGAAACAATAAAAAAAACCACATCTTTGCAAAATGTGGATATGTCATAAATCTATGGAACATGTTGATGTATTGGATTCAAATCCAACACTCATATGCACGCTCATGCCCTGTAATGCAACAATGGGTCATTCTGAAGACTAAAGGAAGATCACATTTAGCCAGGCTGCTCAAACTAGTCTATACAGAGTTTATTCATATTGTGTGGCTCGAGAGGAATGCAAGGATCTTTGAACATACATAAATTCCATGGGAGGTCCTAGCTAGGAGGATTGCTTGTATATGCAACATTAGGGCTGAAGGGAAATCTATGATTACTACTTAGTAAATGTAAATATTAAGTAGGTAGTAAGATCCTTAGTTTATTTACTTGTATAAATGAGGCTAGGTGGATAGGAATTATTGTTTGAAGGTTAGTTTTCAGTTTTTGAAGCAGGTTATGGTAATTTGCTGTGCTTTGCAAATATTTACATTGGTTGGTTATACGAAAATATTTAATTACCAAAAAAAATCTTTTATTTTAAATATAAAAAGTTATGGTGTTCAAATAAAAAACGAAAATATTTTGCCAAGACTGTTAAAAAAAGGGACATTATGCCAAAACCATTCGTGAGCAATTTTTTGCTTTCTCGCTTCACTAAAACAATGGGCCGGCCCCATCAACAAACTCATATAGGTGAAAAAAAAAGGAGGAGAAAGGCAGTTTCAAGATTTGAACAAAAATACACTGATACGTAGATTCCCCATACGAACGACAAGCAGTTCCCTGTGTTTTTCACTAATTCATCCTCTTCTTATGCCAAGTAATACCCTCTTTCTCTTTCTTCCTTTTTTTCAATAATATTTTTTCTTTCCTTTTTTTTGTTGAAAAAAATAATTATGGGTGTCTGTTATTCTGTCATCTAGTAAAATAAAAATTTCTTTGAACTTTCTGGGGTTTTATTTGTTTCGTTTTACTTCTGATCTTCTTTAAATTTGTGTATAGTTTGTATTGTTCCTTAATGGGTCTGCATATTTCTTTCTATTATGTTAAATTGTGAACCAAACTAGTTGAATATTGGAATGAAAGGGGTTCAAAATGGAGTGGAATTAGTATTCTGGATTTGTAAAGCTAATTTAACTAGTTTGAGATTAAGACGTAGTAGTTGCAATTTTAGTTGCTTTTGAGTCTTGTAATTATTTGGGATTCAGTGGTTATTCTATTTTTATTTTGATAAGCAAAAGGGAAATTTGGTGAGTGAAGATTCATATAGCCGATCTCAACTTATTTCGGACTTGGCTTGGTTATTGTTGTTGTTGTTGTTGTTGTGGGATAAGCAAAAGGAGGGTTCAGGGGTTATTCTATGTATGATTCAGGAAGGTATCCCGTTTATAGTACCCACCCATCAACTAGTGGGGATGGGGAAAGAGTGTGTGTGTGTTTTGGGGGTTTTTTTGGGGTGGGGTGGGGTTATGAAAGATTTTTCCAGAAAAGTGAGAGCTTTTTGGTAGTGAAGGATGCAAATATGGTAAAAATCTTTCCTTTTTGGTCTTAACGGGGAAATGGGCCTCATTAGAGCTAAATGGATATATAGGATTTAATATTCATATAACTCGTTTCAATTTTCCTTGAGCCGAGGGTCTATCGGAGACCACATCTCTATCTTAACAAGGTAGAGTCTATCGGAAACCACATGTGTGAAGGTATGGGTAATGTCTGCGTATACACTACCCGCCTTAGATCCCACTTGTGGGATTAACTAGGTTTGTTGTTGTCTGTGTGTTATAACTGGTTTCAACTTATTTTAAAGGGGGTTTACAAAGGTAGATCTTCCAGCAAAGTTGAAGCTTTTTGATAGTGAAGATTGCATATACAAGTAAAATCTATCTATCCTTTTTGGTCTTGATGGGGAAATGGGCTTGAAGTAGAGCAGAATAGATATGGATTATGGAGGATTCATTTAGTAGAATTCAACTAGTTTGGGATTATGTCAATTTTTTTATATTTTTCCTAGATAGGTAAGGGATTGATGCCCCAGGCTTTGGTTCACTTTAAGTAACATTATTGAAATAATTTTTTTTTTTTAATTGAAAGCAAAGAAAGCATTAGGGAGTGGTGTACCTTTTAAAATGTGACTAGGGAATGGTGTACCCTATATTGATAACGGAATTAGGGAATGATGTACCATGCAGTTAAGATCATCAACTAGGGAGTGGTGTCCCCTATTTCTGAAAACACAACTAGGGATTGATGTACCCTATATTGGTAAAGATACTAGGGAGTGGTGTACCCTATTTTAGCAAAGATATCAGGGAGTGGTGTACCCTACACTTAAGATCGATCAACTAGGGAGTGGTGTACCCTCTATTAACAAAGATATTTGGGAGTGTATGCCCCGTGTTTAAGTTCAATCAACTAGAGAGCGGTGTACCCTATGTTGGAAAACACGCCAAGAGATTGGTGTAACTTATATATTTTTACATTTTTATATTTTCTGATAGTATTCATAATTTATATTTGTGCCTAAATTAATTTATGAATGACCAATGCATTCACGCTCTTATATTTGTAATAACTTATTTTGAAGTCAATTAAATGTCGAGCAAATCTACCTCCATATTTTGTTGGATTCCTTTTGACAGTATCTTAATTTTAGAAATGGGAGTCTCCTATTATAACCTATAGTGGAAATTTGATAACATTTGGAAAGAAACTCTCTTCACAAATTAAATACTCCATTAATTTTAATTTATGACATCATCTTATTATTATTCAATCCAAATAAGGATGATAAATTTTTATATTTAAAAATAATTTAACTTATTTAATTATTACTGAGAAATTTTTAGAGCCATAAAAATATTATAATATTTTAGAATACTACAAGTGTAAATTAAAATGGCGAATTTAACTAGTTATATCGAATATTGAATCAAAAGATTAACCTTATCAAAGGAAAAAAAAGAGAGGAAGAAAAGACAGAAGTGGGGTTTACAAGAACAAAAGAAAAAAGAAGCCAAAACCCCTGAGATCTCGCCCTTAATCCTCCGACTAGCGAGAAGCAAGAACAAAGGCTTTTCACAGTGAAGAACACGAGGGTTTTGCTCGCAAAGATTTTCTCTATCTCACACATTCACGTATAACTCTCTCTCTCTCTCTCTCTCTCTCACACACACACACACACACACACACAGTAATTGTTGTTTGCAGCTGTAATTGATTTATTTATAGTTCACAAATAAAATAGTTTTGGAGGATTCATATTGCCAATTTCAGACTATTTGATTTATTTGTAGTTCACCATGTTTTTGTTATTTCTCTAAATTGTCCTTGTTTAGGGTTAGTGGTGCATTTTGTATGGATTTCCTTGAAAGACGTTGTACCTTGAGAAATTATTTTTGGATCATTTTTTAGTATTTGGTTGGATATAGAAGTCAGGGGTCAATTGAACCCATAACTATCTACGCGGAGTAGAAATTTATGTGTAAAATTCATTAAAATTGTAAAAATAATGGATATGAATCCATAACTTTAAAAATATAATGGGTTCAATGTTAAAAATCTTAAAAGTTGAACACATAGAGTTTAAATCCTGGATCCGACTCTAATAGAAGTGGTGACTTATGGTATTCCTATAAACTACTAGCATGGCTGGAGCTAAATTGAAGAAAGGGGCGTTCAATTGAATCTACTTTGTCAAAAAATTACACTGTGCTAATAGGGAAATATCTTACTATTATCTTACTATTATATTTACACTGTGCTACTAGCATGGGCGGAGCTCAATTGGCTTTTGTTGGTCTGCAAAGTTTTTCTTTCTACACGTGTCAAATTGTCCTTCTCGTATTCTTATAGGGTACCCTTTAATTTATCAACGTCTTTAGGGAATTTCCCTTGTGGAAAGATTTTATTGTTCAAGTTACCTACAAAAGAGAAAATGAGTGTTTTCTACTCTTCAAGTTTGTTACCAATCACAGTGATTCCAAATTGTTTTTTCGATCTAACAAAAATTATTGAAGAACTCTGTCTATGTGAGTTTTGGATAGCTGGCCTGAGCCTAAATGAAGGAGGAGGGTTGCAACAAGTTGACATGCAACATAAATGTTAGTCATAATATGTTGAATCTCTAAAGATTATATAAGAGGAGTCATAGAACATACTACCACTAGTTTTGGATCGAGGTTTAGTTGAAGACAATGTTTAGGAAAACTTCTGCATAGATCTTGCTGTCTTTTCTTTTTCTTTTTTGTCTAGATGTCACTCAGAGAGGTTGCTACTTCAAAAACGGAATCCATATCTGTCGGAGATGGTTTTTCTTTCAGGATAGGAAAACTAAATGTTGGCCAGAGGCAGAAAAGTTGCTGGGAAGGGGGAGACAGTGGCTGCACATTATGCTTTTGGCCCACTTGAAGATGATTTTATTATTAAGCATAGACTTCTTACTCGCACAACAACCACCAGAGGCGAACCGCCGTTGAAGAAACTTCAGAAAAAGTTTAATGCTTTTGCTTCGGAGGTAGAGAAGGAAGCTGATAACTATGGCGATTGTGAAAAACTTGCCAAAGCTTTTTTGCAAGAGCTAAATACGTTTGAGATTCCGCTCCTAAAGAGCAAAGCAGTCATAGATGCAAACCTTAGAGAGAAGGAGAATTTCAATGACCTGAAAGATGAGATAAATGGACAAATATTACAAGCTCAGGCCGATATAGAAGATCTCAAGAGGCAACTTGAAGAAAGCAAGATAGAGAGGCAGCATAAAGAAGAGTGTGAGGCCATCAGGAAGTTGGTTGCGATGCAGCCTCCAAGATCTGAAACTCAGAAAGTTATTACAGACCTTGAGAAAGAGATAGCCATGTTGGAGGCGGAGAATACTGCTAGTTCAAGAACATTAGAGCTTCGTAAAAAGCAATTTGCGCTTCTGTTACACGTGGTATGTATCTTTCCGTAGAATCCATCTTGTTTGCGCTGTTGATTTTTCACTGGAAATTCGTTAATAGATTTGATTGAATTATATAGCAGCCAAACAACAGACCCAGTTTTATCCCACAAGTGGGGTCTGGTGAGGGTCGTGTGTAAGCAGACCTTACCCCTACCTGGTTACCCCTACCTGGTAAGGTATATAGTAGCGAAAGACTTAGGAATTAGAGATAACTGACATAACACTCTAATGACCAACAGGTCCACAACTTATTTAGAGAATTGCAAGATAATTCTCCTTCAATAAGCTTTTTACTTCGGCATTTACATTTCACACTCTTTATTATGTTCTTTAAACCTGTAAAATCGGATAGAGACTCTCTTGAGCTGACTTTTCCTATTGGCTTTGACTGTTTTTATTTTTTGTATTTTTGGTATTATTGTCAACTCTCTAATTGTCGCTAGACCAATGGTGAAACTTTGAATGAATTTATATGAAAAAGTAACCATTAACCATCAACAGTAGGTGAAAATCCCAGGCTTTTCAAAGTTTTCATGACTTTCTAGTACTGTTTATCTTTATTAAGCATCATCTTGAAGGGCAGCTCGGTGCACAAGGCATTCCACGCTCACGTGGGGTCCGGGGAAGGACCGCACCCCAAGGGGTGTGATGTAGAGAGCCTACCCTAATGCAAGCATTAGTGGTTGTTTTCACGGTTCGAACCCGTGACCTATAGGTCACCTGGAGACAACTTTAAGCATCATCTTGAAATCCTCTAAACTTAGCTAGCTGCTCTCATCATTGCCTTAGCATTCTAGTTTTTGGCCTAAAAGTCAATCACACACTTTCTTTTTTAAAACAATTGCATTTCTTTATCTATAAAAATCATCAAATATTAGTATATCTCAAAGATGTTTGGTGAAAGTTATGTAAGACCAACTAGGGAACTTGGTTTTAAGTATTTTTGTCTGATTAACAATTATGAAGAGACTTCCCTGGATTTTAGTCTCTTAAATTGGTTTCTTTCCATTACCCTGGCATTATGGGGGGTCTATACGGTTTCAAGTTACATGATCTGAATGTTCATGAAGGGTTTCGTGACTTGAACATAACTAACAGATAAGAAGAAATAGTTTAGAGCATCCTTGCTGATTCTTATTGTCAGAATTAGGTATTATGGAAGAGAAAATAATTGATTTTCTTTTTGTTTCCTTTTGACTTTCTTCATCTTATACATGCATTTTTTTTTGACAATGAGAAGTGTTACGCGGCGCCTTCCTGAAGTTCCTTGGAAGGGCGACGTAAGGCTAAGCAACCGATG